ACATTACCTGACTGAGTTAATTTCTGAACCTGCAATGCCTTCAGTTTGTACAAGCAGTGATTAGAAAGCAAGCATGCAAGATTACTCACACAGTGAATAAATGCTGCAATTAACTGAGGTGGACTCTGCTTCAAGTCAGGGGAAAAAAAAAAAGACAAGATGCTTAACATTGAATGTAAATTCTGGTGCTAAAGGAAATTATTAAAATCTCAGCCAAAGGAAGAGAAAAAATGCTGTTGAGAACATGTGAAAAACATAATTAAATGTAGCGCCATTGATTTACTGTATAAGAAAACAACGAATCTGCCAAGAGTCAACAGATTGATTTAATGTACAATTCCAGATGAAAGGAGGGACTTAACATGTACATCAAAGCCTCTGAATGATTTCACAGATCTCTTCCCCTCTACAAGTCTTTTACTGTCTTGACTAAACCAAGAAAGGCCTTTAAAAACAAGTTAGCAGAATTGGCTCAACAAGAACAAATTAAGAGATGATGAGGGATTGAATTTGTTCTGAAATCTGTTTTTTACGGTGTGTACAGGGCCATGTCTCTAGCCTGGGGCAGAATATTACTTTTTAAAGCCAACCAGCACATTTACATTAAATTTAAGCTTGGCCTATAAATAGGAATCCAAAATGGATCTGTATGTCCTGTTTCAGATGTTAACTGCATCCCAGGCTTCAACTGGATCTCACTTCTCAGGCATTAGCGTTGGATAATTAAATACATTTTAAGAAGTCTGTGGATCCTGACTAGGGTCAGAAGTCCTGTTGGGACTCTTGCTCTCCATCAGAAGACCATAAGGTCTGGACAAGCCAGTATCATGAAGCAAAGCAGGAGCTCGAAAGCCAGATCAGTTTAAATTACAGATCCTTTTGGGTCAAATCCATTTGGGCAACATTGTGCCTCTGCTAGGAGTTACTATCAGATACTAGCTAGAACCACTAGCATACAGTTATAAGAAGATGATTTGGAAATGATATACTGTGCATGTTTTATACTGGATGGTATCTGTGGATCAGGAAGGGAATTTGGGTTTTGTATGGGTGGGGAGACAAGGTGGGGAAGCAGCAGACATGGCATGTGGCTGTGAGAACTGCCACATGATTTACAGATGTAAATGGAGTGGGGACTTTTGGCGGCTTGATTCAAAGTCCCTCAGAGAAAACAGAAGTAATATCACCAGTTTCACTAGTCTTGTACACGACTGTAATCCCACAGATACTCAAGCTAAAAAGCTATCTTGGAATATTTTGCAAAGCCTCCTAAAATTAGGAAGATTTCTGATCATATCTGGAAGCTCTTGCACTGGGTTAACGGGAAGGGTTAATGCTCCTTTCCATTTCCTTCTACCTTTGGGGGGCAAAAGAGAGACTTGAGATAACCTGAAGATAAAAAGCAATGATGGTATTGGGATTTGTTTTTAACACTGTGCCAGTATGTCCAGCAGCGGTATGAGACTTGATTTGAGGTACCTGCTGTGAGCTACTAGGTTTATAAAGTCTTTTACAGAGCTATTCATGACCTGTGATGTTAAAGTGTATTCAGAAACCTTAAAATAAAATGAATTCAGAGTGTGACTAGCGGTTCCCTTGGAGTCAGTACAGCTTCACATTGCAAGACCTCCTTAAAAATACCTCAGCCTGCCGATCATAGATGTGGCATTTCTTGGAAAATCGTATATGCTGCTTCTGGGTTTTATGAATTCTTCAGAAGTGTTCCTGTGGGCAGTAGGGGAAGGCACAAGAGCATCTCCACGTGAGCAAACAGTGTTTGGGAATAAGCTCCTGGAGGACAACGGGGCTTCCGCTGTTCAGCCGTAATGGTTTAACTGAGGTCTGAGAAGGAAAGGGAGTTACTGAAGGAATAATACAGTTTAGAAAATGAGAGGGAAGCCAACATGCAGATGTAACACTAAGTTAGGACAAGGGAAATAATCTGACCTAGAGGTCTGAGCAAATCATCTTCAATGAGATCTGCTCTTTTCTGACACTGCCACCCCCAAGATTTAGGCAACTCCCAAAGTCAGTTTAGTTTAGAGGTGCATGAAGGGTTGCGTCGAGCTCAGAAGGACTGTCTTAGATGAGGAGATTGCGGGGATTACAATGTTAGGCTTTAACTGGTCTGGACTTGGAGGGTGGCTTTGAATCATCTCCAGCCTGGCCAGCAGTTCTGCGACACTGAGTGAGCAGCCAGAGTGGGAATATCTGTGTGTGAATCCGGATGATGTGGGGAGAAGCCAACATGGACCTCTGGCACGGGTTGTTGCTCACGATGCCTGCCGTAAGGTGTGATGGAACACCATTCCCACCAATGTCACCCTCTGTTTCGGGGAGGTCCAAAGTTTACCCCTAGCAGCAGCAGAGGGACAACTTGCCAGCAAAACTTGTGTTTGGTCAAGGCTACTATTGCAACCAATTAAGGCAATAATACAGTAAGATGGATCTAAAAAGACCATGCTTTTTAGATGCTTTTGTCTTACTTCAGCATAATTCCTTCTGTCAGGAAACCAGGCCTTTGTGAAGAATTATTCTGAATTGTTAATCTTCACACATTTCCCTGCTTGGTGATGACACACTGGTGGTTGAGTTCATCTGCTATTGAAATCCTCTGTTGAATGGCTTCAGTTTTCTGAGAAACAAGTCTCTTAGTGTATCTGAAACTTTGTGCTTACAAAAGGGCATGCTGGAACATCCTTTCTTCTTGGCATTGCTGTGATTTCCCAAAAGCTTGGCTTCACAGGCATGCCCCAAAATAGGCTCTATCTTTGCGTTTTCTCTCACGGGTTTACAGGATCTTTGGTGTATTTTGGACATACATGTCTCTCAGAGGAGATGGGGCCAGTCTCCAAGCCCTGAGCTCCTCAAAATTGAGTGAAAAAGGATAAATTGCATCATTTTTAGAGAAAAAACAGTCTTCAGTTGGTGTGAGCAGTCTACAAGCAGCTGTGTTGAGGTCGATGGGATGGAGAGAGTTGTATCTGACAGCAGGCAATTCTGCCCTTTGATTCTGAGGCTGATATTACTGACCTATTTGGAGATAGCCCATGCAAACAGCAGTGCATGGTTGTGCCTTAAAAGAGTTGGGCAAGTTGTACCTTCATCAGAGGCTGGGCCAGGAAGGTGGTGGGGGATCTCCTAGGCAGGACCATGTGTCCCTGCAGGCATGAGGCAAGGGCAGCTCTAGCTCCTTGGTTGCTGTCCACACTAACCAGGAGTGTTTCCAGGGTGCATAGCTGGACTGTGATGGTCCACATGTACATTTGTGGGGGGAGGATTGCTGCTTCTCAAAGCCTGGGCTGAAGGCCTATGCTCCTTCCCTCAGGTGCATATCAACTGACCTGCTCTGCACAAGAGAGGGAGTTTAATATGTGAAAGCCATGTTCTGCTTTACCTGTTCAGTGCAAACTATTTAATGCCCTTTAATTTCTAATTATTTATTTGTTCCTTTGGGATAAAGTGGAAATGCAAGAGAAGGCTGGGATCAGCAAAACAGCAAGGCAGGAGGGATTTTATTCTAGGAAAAGTGTAATTACACTCACCAGATTTACATAGCATTTTCTTGCAGAAATATAGATTACAAGTGCTGAAAGGGAGCTGACGACCTATCAGTAATAAGGCACAGAGATGAGTAATTAAAAAGATGTGCAGCTAATAGCATTGGTTAGAGACAAAAATGTACAAGCTATATAGGTACAACAAGGGCAGCTTTAAGCTAAAACTTGCAGAGCAAGGTAACTTGACATTTATGTTATTCTCCAGTTGACATGGGTTTTGTCAGAACTGTAGAGAAAGGGCTTAATTATCTGATAATTCTTAGGAAGCATTTTTAAAGGACTAACTCATCCACACAGACACAACTGCCATGGCCTGCCTATCTGAACACAGAAGTGAATAAAGGAGACAGGGTATAGGTCATTTCATTTATTCAGAGGAGTTTTGATTGAGTAGAAAAGCAGCTAGTTTGCCAAAGTATATATTTATCTTTTTAAAGTAGCCTTAGAATTAAGTAAAATGCATTTTTATGAGTTCTTACATTAAAAAAAAAACCCTCTCTCCGACTTTAGAAACACCATGATCTGTCTGTTAACATGATACTGTCCAAATAGTTCAAACTGGTTTGAATAAATGTCAGTCTTAAATTCCCATTAGCTGTCAGCTGCGAAGTGAGCGTATTTAATGTTTGAGCAAAGATGGCCCTTGGTGTGCAGTGTGGACCTCAGTCCTTGCTACCTCCACATGTCCTGTCCTACCCTCCCAGCAGAGCCAGCAACCTGCTCTGCACAGCTCTGCTTTCAAGTATGAACTACCCTGGGATCCCATGAAGCTACTGGGTGGGCTTGGACACATACCCATTGTGCATAGAGGAGATGAATTTACACACCTCTACTACTCAGCAGCAGTTATTAAAATCGCAGCAGAGATCAGAGATTGCTGTAGTATCTGCTCGTACTGTTAATGAAGGAGGTGTCTGCTGAGCATTGGACTGTACATCCCAGCTGCAGTTGTCTTCAGTAGCATCCTATCGCCTTTCCCAATGTGGGTCCCTTGTTGATAGGAATTCCAAAAGCGATTGAACATGGAGAAAACAAGACTCCCATGGCTGTTCCTGTACGTGCTGTTCAGTTAAGGTGCTTACAGAGCCCATAGTGGCCAACTGAAGAAGACAAAGACATGTCGGGAAGTACAATCCATTTTTAGTCCTGGTTGGCAGCTCAAAGCCCTCCCCTGTACTCTGCCCCTGCTGAATAATCTGTTGCCCAGTTAGGATTACTCTGTTTGGTGCTCAGATACTGCAGTGCTGAATCTAATACAGAGAAAAAGAGACATGGTTTTATTTCAAGGAAGCTGAATGTAAGTAGATCCACATGTAGCATTTTAAAGGGGTTTTGTTTTTTTCCCACAGCAATGAAATCAGGAGGCACCCAGCTGAAGCTGATCATGACGTTCCAGAACTATGGACAAGCATTGTTCAAACCAATGAAGTAAGTAAAAAAAGTCTGTGTTGTAAAGTGAAATGGTGTTGGAACAGTCTGTTGCTATTTTCTAAGTCATTAAAAGTTTGCTGTAGTATCTCTCGAGGTTAATGTGTTGAGTTCCCTAGGCTTGCTGCTAAGTGCAGAGCTTCAGGGTCTATTGAAACCTTGCCCTGCTAGACTGGTCTTTGGAAGAGATACTGAGAAAGCTTCAGATACATTACAGTCTTCTCAGGAATGTTATTCACTCTGATCTCTGTCAAATCTTCCATCATAAATACAGGATGTTTTCAGCATTTCTATTTTATATAAACTTACTCTGCAGATCTGAGCTTTATCTAGTGTCAGTGCTCCTCTGGAATATGGCCAGATGAGAGAGATGGCTCAGAGCAGCTTTGAGAGAGCTAAATAGTATTTGTCTGATAAATTATAGTTTAATCCGTTGATTTATTCTTGTTTGTATTAAAGGATTGTATTAGTCATTTGGCTGTGGCTCTGCTGACTCTGCGAAAATGAGTTTATCTGAGAGTGGTACTGCAAGGTAATGAATCTAGAAAGAAAGGGAAGGACTAGGATGATACAGCCTTGATTTGTGCCTGCCCAGATCCCATTGAGATGAGAGAAGTTATTGAGATACAAAGCAGATGTAAATGAGTTCTGAATCCTGACCTGTGTGTTTGTGTTGTAATAAGGAAAATGACTCTCTGCTTATTGTAGAGGGTTTAGTAAAGACACTTGGGGCTGCAAAATGTTTAATGAAGCTACTCAGTATCTGTGTCGAGGGTACCACTGGAGTAATAAATTAATTTCCTTCCTTTGTTCCCACTGTAGGGAAGTTCAGTTAATTTCCTCTAAGATGGTCCATGAAAGACTAAAGTAACTGAGAACGAGTGATTTGGAATATGTGTTGGCACTGTGTTATAGCTATTGAGGGGATACAGCTGCTGGTTGGAGACTGAGAAATTCCATGTTTCACTATAGATTTTGCTATAGACTGACCTCAGACAAATACAGACTTGACTTGATCTTATTTGACTGCCCGAACAGTCAAAGAATTGGTCTCACTTTCCTTCAGCCCAAGTTTGAGCGGGACCCCTCCGTATGTGCATTCATCCTGGGTATAGCAAGGAAATCCCATGAACTTGCAGGCATTGCAAGACATTGTTGCAAAGGCCAAATGCCTTTGTGCTATTTCCCAAATTGCACACAAATTTCTCCATGTTTCTAGTGGATCGGTGATTGCCTGGGAGAGGTCAGAGGAAGCACAGATAATGCTGATGAGTCAGGAAGGAGGTATCAGAGCACCTACTCCAACATCTTCCCTTCCTCTCTCTGCCCTCTCCTTGAATGCTGAGATCATCAGATCACCAATGAATGGGTCCATCCCCTATGTCTGCAAATTTGATGTGTATAGGCACAATTCTTAATTGTGTCTTATCCCACATGCAGAATCAAGAACCATGTGGGTTAAAGCAGCCTTTAAGTATTCAGCAGAATTGTGGTTGTGCTGTTGGCTTTTTACATAGTGTGTGATTTGTTTCTTCTCCCTTTGCTCAGATGCAGATAACCTCAGTCTTTGTCACTGGTATGACACTGTAATTCTGCGAATGCTAATGAGGGCAAATAAAAAGTTTACCGTTTCTACTGTGCTATACACAGCCTCAGCAAGATGATGGATGATGATAGAGGTACAGCCACGTTCCTGAGTAGAAGCAGTTACTACCATCCACTAGAACAATAACAGAAATTGATGATGTCTTAATCATTCCCTTTGGTTGATTTGAAGGGCAGCGACACCCTGTTTTCTCACTGCTCTTTGCATTAGATATACCACTGGAAAAAGCAGCATTAGAGCACTCAGCAGCTGTGTTGCCAGTCACCACACCTTACAGTAGCAATGGTGCTGCATTTGTGCAGAGCATCCCTGAACACATTAGTGATTTTGAATAAGGATGTTCTGATTAACAGTGAAAAAGGAGCCAGATGCTTGGCTAGCATAAATCTTTCTAGGTCCTTTGGCATATGCCCTCATTGGCTTCATTCACCAGCTTATGGACTGTTGTTGATGAAGTTCTTCGAGAGGTTTGCAGCATCATTTCTTTGTACAGAAATAAGCAGCCTAGAAATAAAATAAAAAAATTAAATCAGGTTTTAAAGCTATGAGACTTCTTATTACAGGACCTTCTTCAGGCCTAGATACCTTTCAGGCTGTTTCTGGTGCTCCCTCTTTACTGCAGGGTATCCTTCTGATCCAAGCTTAAAGCTGGGTGTGTCTTCCCAGGACAGGGGGCTATTGGGAGCTCACAGAGCAGGGACAGCCATTTCTGGCAGTGTAAAGGGCATTTCTACATAGCTTAGCTTGAGGATCATAAAATACAATGCTGGCAGCTTGCTTCAGGTAAGCTCGTTGAAGGAAGCTCTTGGTGGATAGTCAGGATGTTTCCATTTGATGTATCCTGTGTATTCCATATGTGTTACTGTGTTATCAGGTCTGTGGCTTTTCCAAGCAGCAGAAATAATGCTTTTTTTTTCTCCTGAGATGATAAATCTCATCATACAAGCACCCTTCTTCATGAACCCCAGATAATGCAACCATTAAATAGTACTGTGTGTCCATCTGCAAATAAAAAGTGGGGCCTCAGTTTATCTTGTAGTGATGAGTTGCATCTATGTTAAACTGAGCCACTGTTGCTTTTAGAAAGTATTGTTAGCATCAGTAGGATTTCAGGCCTGATCCCAAGGAAAATTGGTAATCGGGAGATTCCCTCCCACCTGGGATGTGAAATTCTGAAAGCTGAATGGTGTGAGGTACATGTAGAATAATGCATAGACATGAGGCCAGTCTCTGCTTGGTTGTGATTCATTTGCACTACCTGGAAAGCTGGTTTTGTTATAGATAACTGTACTCAGCATTTCCCAAACTGAATTAATACCAGTTCGAACAGGATTGTGGCAGATAGGGGAGACAATGAAAACCCTTCCCTGATACAGCTGGGCATCTGCTAGTGGAAGGGCAGGTTTCCATACCTTTGGCAGTGACTTCTGCAGGGCAGTCACAGCAAAATGTACTCTCTGGCAAATAGCTTGAAACCCTGCAGAACTCATCTTACTTTCTCTGCCCTTTCCCAGCCTCCCAATTCCACACTGAATTTATCCAGGAAGTAAGCCAGCTCCACAAAGGCCCAGGCAGGATTTGGAAATGGGGAAACCAGAATCTGCCTTTGGCACATTTTGTGCTCGGTGTTTGACATTAACTGACAACTCTTCATCTGGTCATTGATTCAGGCTGGTGGAGTAACAGGAGGAGGGATACTTAACAGTCAGGGAAATGCCATAGTGGTAAATAAAGCCTGATCAGCTGCAATTATTTTATTTATTCGTGGCTCTGCATCTTCATTCCTGAAATAATTGCCCAGAAAGTATTGCAGAGGAAGCCAAATCTATTTATAAAGCCTATGGCCCGGCGTAGATTCCTTTGCTAATTCTAAATGCATCATAGAAAAAGCGTGTATTTGCTAAAACTCCAGGGAAGATTTAATGTACTTGCAATGTATCTTACAGTTAATGTGTAGTTTTATTTAGCTCATAACAGTTCAATCATACAAAATTATTACCATATGGGACAGGAAAAAAATAGCAACCTCCCCTTCTCCCATGATTAGTGTGTCTAACTGTACTAATATTATACAGCATAATAAAATTTATTTACATGATCACTGATATCTGCAGCTGCAGCTTTGTATATGATTTATCAGGTAGAGATAGTGTAGAGCCATAAATTCCAAAGGGTTTTGGCTTATTTGTCTAAAAGGAGCATGTGCTTTATAGTTTTATTTGGTTTCCCTTTGTTTCTGCTAGCTGGTGGAGTTAAACAGCTGGCTCAGCAACAAAACCAACACACTGTTTTTTAACTCCCAAGGCTTTATTCTTGAAGGGACAAACTCTGCTCCAGCAGAGTCAGTGTTAGGATTCCTATTGTATATGCTGGTGCCAGGATTTTGAGAGAGGTTTTTACAGTTCCTTATGGAAAAGCCAAATAGGATCAAATAGAAAATGATACCTTGCTATTGGGGTTGTGAGAAAAGTGTCCTGTGGTCTGTGTTTAAGAATGACATCTCTCATTCCCAGTTTCATAGACTGCCTTGTAGAAATGTGTAGGAAGGGTATTGAGGTTTATTTGTTCAATTCAAAGAAATAATACTGTATCCAGTGAACTCACTTTGGACTGAAACAGGTAAAAGCCAGTTCTGTTCCAGCTTTAGATTTTGCTTGGTATTTTTAACATCATTTTTCTTTTCTTCTGCTTTTACAAGTCACACTGCAGGATTGCTAAAAGCCACATGGCTGTTTCTTTCAGTAGCTGAAGTTTGTGGTCTTAATTAGCAGCAGAGTGGTATCAGGACAGAAGAGGCTTTTGGGGTCATGAAATCTAGCCTCCTTGAATCACAGCCAATCATCCCATGAAACCCCAGTGCCAGCCACAAAATAAGCTGGAAGTCATGGTCTAGTGGAAAGCTAGTGCTCTACAGAAGTGAACCAAGCACACTCACTGTTCAGCTTCTGTAACATTCCTATAGCATATCTGTTGGCTGAAGGCAAAGGTGCTCTTAGCTGGGCTGAAATCTAGCAGTCAAGGTCATGGGGAAGATAATATTTTTGTTTGCATTGGCAAAGCACAGCTCTTTATTGGCTTTTAAATGTCATAGCGACAAAGGATTAGCAACGTTCTTTGAGTTTCTCTTTGATTTCCTTTTAGGATTGCTCAACAAATAATGCATTTTTTGATTGGGACATTAAAAGGCCAAACAATCCCTGTAATACAAACAGCTGTTAATCGCTTTCATTTCCTACAGTTATATTCCCTTTCCGAAGCTGCAGTGTGACTGTTGTACCTGTGAAATGCAGCCTCCAGGCCTGATTATCATATCAATTAGGTTGATGTAATTCTTCGGAATCGGTACCAAAGCTTCCAAATCAGAGGGCTTGGAATGAACTTCAGAATCAGGGCCACTGGAAGATTGCTTTCCTTATTACATTGCATATCATGCTGTTTTGAGGAAATACATTTTTTCAAACCTGTTGCATTTCAGCTGGCAGGCATCCAGTATAAACACACTGTTATAAGTCAACATAGCAATTAAATCAAATTGCAATGTTTTCTCTGAGCAGCTAGAGAACTGATATGCATCCAGTAGCTGCTATGCTAGAAGCCTTCCAGGATTAACACTTCAGCATGCTGGAATGTGCCATGCAAGACCTAACTGAGTAGTGGCTGCTCAAAGTACAAACCCAGCCACTATGTTTTGTCACTTGGCTTAAGCCATGTTACTGTACCAGTCACTGGAGAACGCTGGTTATGTGCAAGGTGTGTTACTGGAGACCTAATGTTGAGACCTCATAGCAGCATTCCAGTATCTGAAGGGGGCCTACAAGGATGCTGGAGAGGGACTCTTCATTAGGGACTGTAGTGATAGGGGAGAGGATAGCAGGTTCAAACTCATACAGAGGAAGTTCAGATTAGATATAAGGAAGAAGTTCTTTACTGTGAGGGAGGTGAGGCACTGGAATGGATTGCCCAAAGAAGTAGTAAATGCTCCATTCCTGGCAGTGTTCAAGACCAGGTTGGATAGAGTCTTGGGTGACATGGTCTAGGGTGAGGCATCCCTGCCCATGGCAGGGGATTGGAACTAGATGATCTTAAGGTCCTTTCCAACCCCAACTATTCTATGATTCTCTGATTCTATGAATAAACTGGTAGGAAAGGTTAAAGCTGCTAATCCCAGCATTCAGTTTATATAGATGTATTTTAAAATTACAAGGAGTGCTGTCTCATTACATCATGAAGAAGAGATCGGTTTTTTTTGCTGCTGGAAGTAATAATCAGTAATCAGATATTCTGTGGACCTCAACCCTGAGAATTTGGGCTTTTTAAGGGCATTCAAATCCTTACCTACCAAATCCCTGCTGAAATGTTTACCTGAGTGAGACTGACAGGCAGATTTGATTGTACTTACATCAGGAATAAGTCTGGAGTAAACTGGACAAATTATATCACTTGATATTTAAAGTACATGAGACCTGAATGTGCTCCTAAATAAGGACAGTAGAGGTTGCCATGTAGTATTTTAGCTCTTTAATTTTTGGTATATTATGCATGAACTGTGTTTCTCTTGCAACTAATCCTGTTCATCACATCAGTCTTCTTCAGTATTTCAATGCCAATTGTATTTTAAGAGTCAGCAGTGCCTCTGGTCCAAATCTCATTTATGCAGATTGGAAAATTTGCAGTGACTTCAAGGAGAGCTGGATCAGGATTGAGGCTGACTGATGGCTCTGGACAGCAATGAAATCCAGTCTGTCTGTCACTGTGCACTGTGTTTTCCTTTGCCGCAGCTCAGCCACTGCTGCCTAAAATAAATGATCAATCCCATCCAGCCCAGGAGCAATTTGTTCTCAAATTCTGAGAGCATGTTTATGAAATGTCCTGAGAGTCAAAGTCTGCAAAGTCCAGGTAGCTCAAAGGTTGTCCATTCCGATTAGGATTTGTAGGGATCTGTGGTAGCAGTGTTTCATCATGCTAGCGGCCAGGACAGGCAAAACAAACCTCTGTCCCTCTCTTTTAGTACCAGCTCAGTTGTGCAGTCTCAGGCCTGGGTTATCCCTGGAGCTGCAAAGGAACTGCTTGGAGCCAGGATGGAACAAAATGAGTCCCAGAGGTGAGGGGGAGCAGACCTTCTTTCGGCAAACCTGGGCTGTTTTGCTGGATATCACCATGTCCATGGGGTTCAGCCCAATCCCCCTTCCTGTCACTGGGAAGCTGCTATCCACCACTGCTGGTGGATTCTCCCCAAAGTCCTTCTCCCCTGACTCCCCCATGGCATCTTCAGCTCCTGACAGGGGAAGACTTCACTCTGCAGCTTACAGAAATGCCAGCCCCATGGTCTCTATGCATAGGCCTTTTGCAAAAATAATTCAAGCCTTGCATTTGTTTTCAACTGATTTGGGGTTTCTCCAGCAGATGATAACGCAATGCTCAACGTGTGCTTTTGTTCTTGTCTTACACAGACACAAGTGGCCACAGATACTGACTGTACCTGCCCCTTATCACCATTTTAAGGGAGAGCTGAGTGGACAGTCATATTTTACAGTAGTGAAGTGTCTCTGCTTGATTAGCTGCCTTTTATCTAAGTGCTTATATACTCTTGCTAATTAGTCTTTAGGAATAAAGACATGCTGCTGCTTATTCTTTTTTCTTTAAACTAGTTATTGCAGCAGCTAACAGGTTTTTTTACATGTTACCACGATGTGTTAGGAAAGAAGCATCTTCAGTGTCTGATTTTAATCAAGCTACTTCTTCATT